TCTCTAAAATCAATCTGAAAAATTCTGGGAGCTCAAAGTAATATCCCCTAAGTAAAAAGAAAGGAAATATGGGGATATTGTGTTAAATGGAGCTAGAATTTCACTAATTTTTTTCCTTAATTCAGGTTGGGGTCACAGTTAAAGTCTTACAGCCCTAGGTTTCAAGAAACTCTGCCATTGTCTCATTCATGTTGCACAAGCCCAAATGAGAAAAGAAAATAGAAAAAAAATATTTTTCAATCTTCCCCTACCCTTCCAAGTTTGATAACCCCTTGAATGGGCAGTATAATAATGGAATACAGTGTTTTTTCAGTGTCAGTGCCCCACTTTTAGAATATAGTTGGTTTACAACTCCTTGTCATAGATTTCATCACATGGCTTCTACATTTACAAGTTTCATTTGCAAGCATAAGAGCTATAGACTTAAATTTTAAAGGGAAGTTTGTTGGACCCTCAAGTACAGAACGGCATCCTTTAGAGGAAAGCAAAATACAACCCAAGAGCTAAAACCAGTAATTTCCAAGCTTTCCATTTATCGTCAGTCCAAAGACCAAGGAAATACAAGACCATTTTTCAGCTTTGTAAGGCTATTCTTTGGAAGCTCTGGTTACATTATTGGAAGTAGCGTGCACAGGTTTCCATAAACAAATCTCTTGCATCGCATTTTTCCCATTTGGGGAACTTTTTGTTATGCAAGAAAATTATACTTAAAACCTTCACATCATTCCAAATGTGTGTTGGGGTTTTTTTAGTAAATGAAAGCCTGTTTCCAGTCAGTAAGAGCTTTATCACAGGAAAAACTCGTTTTAACTATCCAGAATTTTTTTTTAAAAAAAAAAAGTTATTGTAAGATTTCTTCTGTCAGTATTGAAGTTAGTACATTTAAACACATGTATTTGACTGGAAAACTAAAGGTTGTCTCCCGTGACAACTATCAGAAGCCCAATTGCTTGTGTCCATTCCCCTCTGGTGGTGACTAGCTCATATTACAGAAAACAACAAATGCTGCCGAAATTACAAGGATTAAATGCAAATAAAAAGCACTTCACCAAAAAAGATTTTATTTTTAATGGTAAGGCTTAAAATGCTTTTGAAACAATGACCTCTTTTAAACACTGTTCAGTGTTCTCTGCTTATTTTTACCTTCCTCCTATCTATTTTTTACATAACACCAACTCTCTCGCCAGGATCAAGGTCCTTTTCCCCTGGCAACACATACTTCAGTGGTATTTCTCATTTGCTTCTTGACAAAAACAACTGGTATTAAATTACAGAACTTAAAACTACTCAGTAGGGATTTTAAAAAAATAAAGCATAAGCCAGGTAGCTGGATGCAAAGCTGCTAAAAAGGGAAATGGAAAATTTTATTATTTACTGTATATTAGAAAAAGGCCAATGACATATTCAGTGGGAAAATCAGAACTCTGCCCTGACAAATTCTGAAGGTTTGTTAAAGCAACTGATGGAGGAAAGGAGGATGTGCAACTGCAGGCAGACATCAGGAACAAATGGTTTTTCTTTCAGCCAAAGTTCTAGAGGCAAAGTGAAAAATATTAATTAAAAATTACACGGATGTACAATATATCATCAATTATCCAATGTTCTTTTTCAGAGCGCGCCAAATGACTAGTCTCTAAAAGGGAAAAATCTTAGGGTTTGCAAGCTAGTGGGCATCTTCCCTCAAGAGAAGAAAAAGAGAGAAGGTCTGTGTGTTTAAGGATTGGAGAATACAAAATCTATTAACACCAAACATCCAGCCTTTCAGGAGTATTCCTTATATTCTTACAGATGGCATCAAGAAGGATACTCTAGGGATTTGTTCAGTAATGAAGAGTCAGGAAAAAATGTGAAGATAAGGAGTAGTCTCTCTAAAAATATCTTGTGACAGTGAATTCTTGCATCTCACAAGAGTAAGCAATGGTCACCAGCAAGTTACTTTGAGGATTATTTGGATAAGCAAACTGAAAATGCTTGTGTGGTATGTGGTTAGGAACATCTAGAGGCTTGAGACAGACTCAAACTGCCTTCTACACACAGGGGCACTTAAAAGGGCTAGAATCATCTTAGAACAGCATGTGGTAACCTGAAATATAGAAAATAGGTCTTCAGCAAGGAAAAAAGTCATAGAAAATATGTCAGCAAGAGACAGAAAGGATCTAAATTCACAGGACCTGCTATTGCAGAAAGCCTTACAAGATTTCCACACCCCCATGCTTAAAATGGTTAAGAAAAGCAGAACTCATTCTCCTCAAGGATGAAACTTACAGGCAAATAAACATGGTATTTTAAAATAGCTTTGTAACTCTAGTTCTTCGCTCCCTAAACTACATGATTATTAATCTATATGTAAATGTGTAACTTATACATAGATAGTACGAAGTACCAAGCCTAATCAGGATTTTTTAAGAAATCTCCTTTCACCCTAAACGTTTGGTGAATCCAACAACTGCCTCCCCAGCAGGAGGAACTCAATTGAAAGAGGCCCCACTTATACTGTTGATAGCAGAAGATGGGGCATTTCATTGCTGCTTTAGGTAGTACTGAACTCACTTCACACACTGAGGTCTCCTTGTGTCTCTCCAGTCCTTTGTCTACCTACCCCTGTGCTCCCATGCCTCCAGCTTCAGAGATTACTTAATAGCAAATCCCTCCCCTTCCACTCTTGGGCTCCTGATGCTTATACATCACTTCCACCTTTTCTTCTTCCACAAGTCAGGGACTCTGTGTCTTCCTTACTTGTTCTTGTATTGCCAAAGAGCTTTTCCAGACATTTTCATTTTTGCATGCTGATGATTACCTGATACCCTACCCCCTTAGGTTCAGCTATGGTCAATATAAAATCACAACAGTGACACAAAATTCCTGTCTACTCAAACCCAGGGGTTTTATGTCAGCTGTTTAGCAGTGCTTGAGACAGCACATCTCAAAATTCAGTTTCAGGTGTTTTCTACCTCCTTCTGGCCTCTGTACCTCTGGAGCTGAAAATTGTTTTCAGGTGGTACTTACTGAAATACTGTCCTAGTCCCACTTGTCTTGGTCCGTGATAGGTCTCTGACTCACCATGGCCATCAACACTTATAGCCATAAAGCTATAGCTAAAGCTATTTGCTGTCTTGCCAGGTGAACACAAGGATCTAATACCTCGCCCATTGGCCTCCAGCTGGGCAGACCCAGTCTTCAGCCTGGACTGTCATGATCCACATTCACCCTGATACTGTGCAGGTTTCTTCTGTTACACATATTACCCTGTGGATCCTATGGCCTGTGTCTGGACCCTGCAAACACGCTTGGGCCCTTGGTCAGGGAGGACAGACGTGCTGTAGACAGAAGGGTGATGACAAGGAAAACTCTTCTAATCTCCTGCTGTACCTGGAGCTGCTTAATACTGTGCCAGTTGCCACCAAGAGCTGCAAACACTACAAGTGTTCACTGCCCTGTGCAACTAGTATTCACAAGTAGTCCTGGCAAAGAACGACTAACCATGTCCTTGCTGAGTGCGCTACTGTTAAACAGCCAGGTTTTGATCTGCTCTACTGTCCCTGGACCCTCCTGAGTTGTTCTTGTTCTGGGCAGGGACAGCATATTGAGATTTTTTTTTTTTAGCACAGAGGGTTTTTAAATGTTCTGAGCTGCTGGTAGTGTTGGATGTGGATGTGACATTGTTATGGATTGTCTCCTAGCCACACTGAATGTGGACCTAACTTCTTTCACTGAGATAGCTATGGCTCCGCTCATTTAGCAGTACAGTTATAAATAATAATAATGAATAATATTTTAATTATTATTCCTTCTTCTCCTGCCCCTGTGCCGTGTTATGCACATACCCACTTTTATACCGAGTGCCTCGCTGCTTAATAAAATGCCCTTGTGGGAAAGGATGCTATGTAAGTTTCCTGTTCTCCTCCCTCCTCTTTCTACTCAAAGCATTTGCTTTCATGCCTTTCATTCTAAATGTCAATATTTTATACTACCCTAGGATAACAGGCAGAACAAAAAAGTGTAATGATATACTGCATGTGGCTAATGGATACTGTCAGCCAGTACATCAACTTACAGAAATCATATATATTTAATTGGCAGGCTGAGCTGCATGTACTAACTGTGGTGCAAAGCTCAATCTGCAACCAGTGTCTGATTTATGCTTTTTTCTATTATTTTCAGCAAAATCAAAAGACTACTGTCTTCTGTCCACTGGTCCACATTTACTTTTTTATCAGACGTCCATTTACCTGTTTTTATAATTGCTTGGATCAAAACTCAGAGCTGTATGCTGAGACCTATAAAATTGCATGACAGACTTTCTGTGTATTAAGTATGATCCTCAAATCTCCTTGTCATTTTGGAGCTGAGTAACACATTGAATAAAGCCTATGCAAAGCATAACCAAAGTCTTAGTTTTCCACAGGCATAAAAACTCCATTTGACACACATAATACTCTTCCTTTTGGAGGGAAATAGCAGGCAATAGCTTTTGGGAGAACTATTTTGATAGATTTTCTTTCCAAACACTCACTTCTCTCTCCTGCCTACTCAGAGTTTTCTCCCTTAGTTACAGGGTAATGGTGTTCTGCAATCAGCTAGTTCAAAAATCTCCATGAAAATACCTCACTACACCAAGTCTCCCAAATTTACATACTTTCTAGCTCTTCCAGTTTGTAATCTAGTAGGATTATAGATCTGGATTTGGAGTACTACTTTGAAACTAAAGTTACTAAACTAGATTATTGTTCTCATTTGCAATGACTAGTCCAGAACAGTGCCTTAGTGAATCTCAGGATAACGTTTATATTTTCCTTTATTACAACTCTTAACTTACCATTTAAGAGAGTGGTGTTGAACAAAATCAAGTTCTTAAACTTCATGAATTCCAAAAATGTACAGAGGTACATCTTCAGAACAGCTTAGAAAAAAGCCATAGAAAGAAAAAAACCAAACCAAACAAAACAAAAAAAAAAAAACCAACAAAAAAAGCCACCAAACTTTTTTTCCTTTTATCCCAGATGCAGTAAAAATATTGCAGTCCTGTGATCCTTCCTGCAGGACCTGTGAGAAATCTGCTGACATATGTACTTCATGTCCAGAAGGTAAGAGACTTAAACTTCTTTGGGTAAGTTTTGAAGAGGCTGAAACATTGTGTACCTTACACACTTCCAGTGAATATTCTTGTCAATGGTCACTAGAAAGTTGTTTGCCAGCTTAAAGCATAGGCAGGTAATCAGATAACCACCAGCTGAAGTCGGGCATCAACACATGCCCTTAGCAACAGGGGTAAAAAAATTGTTAGATGGATGTTGTTCCTTTTCTTTCTTTTCAATCAAAAATTGTAGACATGATGCAGGAATTACTGAATAGGGATTTATTCAGAAATATGTACTAGATAAACCTGATGAGTCCTCCTAACCTTAAATTTCAGTGAAGGTTGAGCAAACTACTTTGGGAAATGGCTTGAAGGATGTTTTATTCATGTTTTTAAGCATCAAAAATTTAAATTTCAAGGAAGTTGGAAGATGTTTTTTATACCCATCCAAGGCAGGAAACTTTAAAATGTATTTCTAATTGGTGCCTTTTCCCACCTGGGTTGTTCTTTTGCCAGGAAAATTTCTTACCCATCACACCTGTGTTACTCTGTGCCCTCAAAAAACTTTTGGCAATGTTGCAAGTGGGAAGTGTGAGATGTGCATGGATGGCTGTGAGGTGTGCTCCGACCACTGG